GTGATGGGACACAATAAATAACTACATTGTATATTGACAAAATAAAAAAAAAAAAAAAAAAAGAAATGAGAACATTCTGCTACATATTAAAAGAAACTAAATGTTGCCACATGGCATACTCACAGGAAACACAGGCAATGAAGAAAACTTCTAAAAACAAATATCCCCGAGTATCCAATATCATGCCAGCAATGATGGAAATGACTGCCAGCCCAAGATTCTGAATGGACTGCATGCTACAATTTAAGAAATATTAAAATACATTTAATTTTCAAAAGTCTTCACACACAGTCTAACACTTCATGACAAATATTAGTATTTGTAAGCCACACAGTGTGAGTGTTAAGAAATGTTTTCAACCAAGGATGACTTGATTAGATTTTGTTTTTAACCCGTGACTATTTCTGCTACTAGACTGTCTGCTCAAAGGTAAGGGAGCTTACCTCATTAAGTGCAGTATGTACTCAACACTTTTCTGCTGAATGGAAGGAAGGGCTATGTGAATACCAACCACATGTGTGGTTTCCCCTTTTTTCCTCTTTGGGCTAGAGACAGGACTCAACTTCTCAGAGAAGTCCTCATATAAATAGGCAGGAGGATGGTAACATCAGCAATTACCTCTTACAGGCTTACTCCAGCTGTCTTGCTGGAGGCATGAAGCTCTTTTGTTGCCACAACAGTATCTTAACTAGATTAACCGACTTCCAGTTACCTCCAGGTTTAAACCTATCCTAGAAGCCGGAAGATGACTAAGTTCAGAGACCTATAGTTTTATATGATAATTAAGTTGACACAGCAGAGATAGAAATATACGATTCATAGTGTAACTACTTACAAGCCATATGCAGTTCCCAGTTGATGTTCAGGAACTACAAATGCCACCATTGGCCACAATGCACAGGCAAGCAGTGAATAGGAGATTCCCAGAAGACACTACAGAAAGCAATACAGAAAGGGGTAAAAGTCTTATATGTTAACCAAAAGGTGATTTTCCTTTGATGCAGATTAGCAAAAGTGACATAGGACCTAATATTCAAGCAAATTGAATATAAATATTCAAGCAAATTTTGTTGAAATCAGGCTAAAACTCATATTCAAAATATACAAAAATGTCTCGGCCCTCTCTAAGAGTATCCCTAGTGACAACACACACACTGTCTTAACCAGTCTCACTTGTCATCACATTATATGCACACGTAACTGGCTGGGGCCCAGGATGCAGTAAAGGACCAAGCAGGAAAATAAAGCTAATTTGCAAAAAGTTCTTACCAATGTTTCAGGCAGGCAATTTTCCATATTTATTAGGAATTACAAATTAAGCAATATTATGCCAATAGCCCATTATCCTGCCTCTGGCTCATCAACACTCAACTGCAAAGCAGAGCACAGAACCAACCACCACAGTGGCTGTTAAACATCACCTAATGCTGACTACTTTTTTCTGCAATGAGAAAGAAACCTTAAGATTCAAATTTAAATACGTATAATTTATACCTATAGATTGGCAAAGATTAAAGTAATGCCAATGTCAGTACCGACAAGGTTACAACAAAACACATTTGTGTATTACTGGTGAAGTTATACGTGGCTAGAAAGCTATTGGAGAAGTTTCACGATATCTATCAAGATGTTAAATGAGCAAAGCTTCTGCTGTAGCAGTTCTCCTTCCAGGAACTGGTACTGTATCTGTTTGAAATACTTTTACAGAAATTCTCACCAAGTGCACAAATATTTATGTTCAAGATATTCCTTCATTAACCAGTAAGAAATGCAGAGTTCAGCCTCTGGTTTTAAAAATGACATTCAGCCAAACAACAACAAAAACCTGATGAAGTAATTACCACTTTTTAATCTACTAAGAGTCAAAGAAAAGTAATGGATGCTAGGCTGATAGATTTTGGGGGGCCACCTATGACAGAATGATTTCTTTTTTTTTTTTTTTGTCTTTTTTTGTGTCCAGCAACGGATCGCAACCCTCAGTGCTGCACCCGCACCTCGCTCAGCCAGTGAGCGGGAACCGGTCTGTATGTGGGATCCGAACCCTCGGTGGGGGCGCCGCCGCGCTCCCAAGTGGCGCGCTGTAGCAGTGCGCCACTGGGCCGGCCCAGAATGATTTCTTTTTTTTTTTTTTTGTCTTTGTTTGTGTCCAGCAACGGATCGCAACCCTCAGTGCTGCACCCGCACCTCGCTCAGCCAGTGAGCGGGAACCGGTCTGTATGTGGGATCCGAACCCTCGGTGGGGGCGCCGCCGCGCTCCCAAGTGGCGCGCTGTAGCAGTGCGCCACTGGGCCGGCCCAGAATGATTTCTTTTTTTTTTTTTTTGTCTTTGTTTGTGTCCAGCAACGGATCGCAACCCTCAGTGCTGCACCCGCACCTCGCTCAGCCAGTGAGCGGGAACCGGTCTGTATGTGGGATCCGAACCCTCGGTGGGGGCGCCGCCGCGCTCCCAAGTGGCGCGCTGTAGCAGTGCGCCACTGGGCCGGCCCAGAATGATTTCTTTTAATGAAGTTCAGAAAAATAAGTGGAACTAACAGCATCCTGGCTTTTATAAGTCTATTTTATTTCAAATTCCATTTCAGCATTGAGGTTACCCTGTTATACAAACCAAATGAAATAAGATACCTCATGCAGTAATCATTTATAATTTATACTTTAAAACATAATTATTTTGTAGGAACTGAAATCAAGTCCTTGTTCCTCACTGTCATAGGCACTGCCACCTGAGTTTGCTCATGCACCTCCTGACATGGACTTGACCAAGTCTTCGTGGAAGTCCTGACACCCTCTGCCCGCCCCCCAGGTGTTAACACAGACATTACCATAGCAATCCAAGGGTTCCACATCGTAAAGGCCAGCATCATGTGGGACACAAGAGTGGTCGCTACTGCACACAGAACCCAGATGATGTTCTTCCCTGTTTTATCCACCAGGAGCCCGAATACTGGGGACATGGGAGCTGATATGACATACACAACACTGCCCAGAGAACAAATAAGCTATTTAATGAAATACAACAGAGCTAAAAATAAATATCAAAAAATCCCTAAAAATATTACACAAGGCAAATCCTAACTCATTTAACAGTCTTCTAAGAACACTCCAAGCTTTCTTCAGTTTTCTATTAATGCAAAGATGGCCATTCAGGATTCAAGTCCCAATACTGTTTTGGCTTCACACTATGGATGTTAGGTCACATTCATCATTTTTGCCTCTTATAACATTTCTTTATAATTAAAGACCCACAGTTCCCATGCAATAAGGATTTACAGAATTAATAAAATACCTGTTAATTGCATTTGCTGCCTGGGTAGAAAATCCGAATTTCTCTTTAAAGAAAACCCTAAAATTAAAAAGATAGAGAAATGAGCACATTAGAGAAAACTACTCTGTTTTCAAAAAACAAAGGCAAAATGAAGATGAATAAAAATAGTTCTTAAATTTAATAAACTTTTCTTTCTTGATACTGTTTTCCCACCTTATTTAATATTTATCTTCAAGCAATCTGCTAAAGCTTAAGTGTTTATATAAATACTTCACTGACTAAATAAAATATGATGCCTTTTTTTCCCTTTTATATATTCAGCAAACAGTACACACAAATTCTCAAAAACCAAATATACCAGTAAAGGAAATTAAGGCTGCTTCTTTTCCTTAAAATCAGTACTGATAGGTTCTTTGCTAAATAATAAGTAGGGTTCTTGCCTTAAATGATTTAAAACAACAGTCTGAATTTAAAGGTTGTAAAGACATAAAGATACACCCCACAAACACACTCACACTCACACACTGCTCTGTTTAAGCAGCTGCCAAAGAAAAAGGAGAGAGAAGTAGAAGATAAAGCAAAGAAGAATTTGCTTTGAACCCTGAAATTAAGTCTGGCAAGATTACAGTCCTAGCAAACGGAGAAGTGCCCAGTCACAGTGCACCAACACATGGTCTCCATTTTCAGTAAGAGGCTTCCTAATCAAGCAATAAAGAGGAAATAAAAAATAATACTAGTACAAAATCAAGTATTGAAACAAGTCAATATTTTGCATCTAAAACTGTTATTAGGTTTCTCCTCAAAAGAATAGTAAGTGTTTTAAATCAATACTAAACCTTAAGAAAATCAGTTGTATCCCAGGATATAAAATAATTCCTACATATAGGAATATAAACTATAACCAGAGAAGCAAGATTTACTACTAAAAAAACTACATGTGACTGAGCTGTCATAATTTAGCCATCAAAAATAGAACACTGGAGAATACTCACACCCCAAGTCCGATAAAAGGGAACACCGCAACATAATAGCAGACACAGATGATAAATATGAGCCACAGGGGTAAGGAGAAGTCCTTTACATCAGTTAATTTAATAACTTCGCCTTAGGGAGAAAAGGAAGACTCTATCAGCATAATTTTCATACTTAAGGACCTTTCATCTATAGTCAAGAAAATCTAAGCTCTCTAGGCAGACTGAGTAAATATGAACAAAAGGAAACAAATCTCCCTTTTGCTACAGACTATTAACACCTTACATGAATAAATTCTGAATGGTCTCAAAGAGTTTTCACATACACCATCTCTTTGTAGATACGAGATACAAATGACAACACTGAGGTAAACAAGGAGGAATAAGATCCTCCATTTTAAGAAAGTGGAAATTAAAATACAAACAGGGTAAATGATGGCTATTTCTAGTTAAGTCAAAGAACAATGAACTGCGGAAGCAAGCTACAACTGAAGTAGTCTGACACTGATTCCAGTGTTTTCCTCTCTGCCACAACACTTCCCAGGACATGCTTTCAGAAGAGACAAGAGTTGGGACATCAGGATTCACTCACCAATCATAAGTGTGACCCCCAGCGTTGTGGGACCAGCAGAACCCAATGCAGCTTCAACCTTAGAATACAGGTACCCCATGAGGTTCATGTTTACCGTACTACCCTAAACAGAAGGGAAAAAAATTAACAGAACTTTCAGTTATTTATACCTCTGCATTGTTCAAAAAAAAAGGATTTGAGGTGGCTTAGAGAAACAGTTATACTAGAAATCCAGATTAAATGGGATAATTTTTTTAAAAAACACTATAAGGAAAAAACTAACAAACAGATATGGTCACTACACAAAAAAACGTGAATTTATTAGAAAATGTTAGTATCCAAAGTAACATAATATATTTAGAACTTCCTAGCAGACAAAGCAAAAATGAAACATAAGTGATAAAATTCACAGGGTACCTATGACAAAAGTACACCAGTAGCTCCAAAAAAGCACAGCTTTTGCTAGTACTGAACTCTGGGGGAAAAAAAAATTCTTCCTCTGCCCAGAAGTAAAGACAGTCAAAGTAATAGAGAAGATACCCTCAATCACTTATTCATTCACTCAGCAATTACTGAGCCCCTACTGCACGCCAGTCACTGCATGAGGTGTTGGGAATGTAATAGAGAACAAAAGAAAAAAATATCCAATGTTCATAAAGCTTATATTTCAGTGAAGTAAAAAAAAAAAAAAATGTAGCATATTAAATAGTGACAAATGCTTTTAAAAGTAAAGAAAACATAAAGAAGGGAAGAAGAATCTAAAATTGGGAGTGGAGGCCTCACTGAGAATGTGACTTTGTAATACAAACTTGAAGGAATTGTGGGGGAAAGCACTGCAGGCAGGACAGCAGGGCACAGGCCACGTGGGACCTGCCTGGAGAGCTCCAGGGAGACGAGGCAGGCAGAGGCCGCGACAGCGCACATGGAGGGGAGAGAGGACAAGATGAGGTCCCCTGAGAAGACACGGGGAGGGAAGTGAGAGGGGAGAACGAGGACTTTGGGCTGTTATTCTGTGTGAGCTGGTATGCCGCTTATGCTTTAGCAGACTCTGTCTGGCTGCTGTATTCAAAACAGAACAGAAGCAGGGGCCAAGGCCAAAGCAGGAGCACCAGTGAGGAGCCACCGCCATGATCAGAACACAGATGCTGGGTCTTAGACCAGGGTGGTGGGCAGCGGGCGTGCTGAGAAGTGGTCAGCACATGGATATATTTTGATGTACAGCTAATAGGATTTGCTAACAGAAAGTACGTAAAAAAAAAAAAAAATGTAGCATATTAAATAGTGACAAATGCTTTTAAAAGTAAAGAAAACATAAAGAAGGGAAGAAGAATCTAAAATTGGGAGTGGAGGCCTCACTGAGAATGTGACTTTGTAATACAAACTTGAAGGAATTGTGGGGGAAAGCACTGCAGGCAGGACAGCAGGGCACAGGCCACGCGGGACCTGCCTGGAGAGCTCCAGGGAGACGAGGCAGGCAGAGGCCGCGACAGCGCACATGGAGGGGAGAGAGGACAAGATGAGGTCCCCAGAGAAGACACGGGGAGGGAAGCGAGAGGGGAGAACGAGGACTTTGGGCTGTTATTCTGTGTGAGCTGGGATGCCACTTATGCTTTAGCAGACTCTGTCTGGCTGCTATATTCAAAACAGAACAGAAGCAGGGGCCAAGGCCGAAGCAGGAGCACCAGTGAGGAGCCACCGCCATGATTGGAACACAGATGCTGGGTCTTAGACCAGGGTGGTGGGCAGCGGGCGTGCTGAGAAGTGGTCAGCACATGGATATATTTTGATGTAGAGCTAATAGGATTTGCTAACAGAAAGTACATGGAGTGTGAGGAGAAAAAAAGAAAAAGAGCTCAGGATGACACCAGAGTTTTTGCCTTAGCCACTGGCAGAGAAGAGTTGCCCTTAACTGAGGATAAGAAAACTACAGCAGGAGCTGGTTTGGGGACTGTGAGTAGAATATCAAGAGCTGAGTTTGGGGCATGTTAGGTTTGATATGCCTACAAGACAGACACTCAAGTGAAAATGTCCAGTAGGCAACTGCACATATGGGTGTGGAATTGAGGGGAAAGGTCAAGTTAAAATGGAAAAACTAGGTAAGATCACCAAAGCTGTGAATGTTGAAAATGAGAAGAGCAGATGTCCAATGACCAAGCCCTGGGACACTCCCACGTTTACAGGATGAGAACACTGAGACGAAAGCAACAAAAGAGGTAGAAAAGGGGTGGACACAAAGGCAAGAGGAAAACTATGAGACTGTAGTACCTTGGAACCCAAGAAAAGAAACCAAAGTGAAGGAAATGCCAACTGTGTAAAATGCTATCGACAGGTCAGACACTACTGAAGACTGAGGAACGAACATGTCCTCACACTCCCACGTTTACAGGATGAGAACACTGAGACGAAAGCAACAAAAGAGGTAGAAAAGGGGCGGACACAAAGGCAAGAGGAAAACTATAAGACTGTAGTACCTTGGAACCCAAGAAAAGAAACCAAGGTGAAGGAAATGCCAACTGTGTAAAATGCCATCGACAGGTCAGACACTACTGAAGACTGAGGAACGAACATGTCCTCAACAACATTCTCACAGCAAACACAGTAGCAAATCCCACACGGCTATTTCTTACAAAATGCTAGCCAGTGGCAATTCTCAAATGAACAAGAAGGTAAATAGAGACTTACTGGAAACTTTCTACAACATCATCAAAAATATAAACTCCTCAAAGACAGGGATGTTGCTTTTATAATCCTTTAACTCTAAAATGCCTAACTTGACCTGGCTTAGCAAGTACTCAATCAACATTTGCTGAAATAATAAGTTTAAAGGTAACAAATTGTGAAGGAAAATCAAAAGAATGGGGGACCTCCAACCCTCAGCTAAAACACGAATTACAAGAAAAGTGACAAGTTCACTGTCCGAAGAAGGTGTATGATAACATTTCAAGTCCCTAAACTCAAACGCACAGCTCAGGTAACAGAAAAGTCATGGAGAGGTAAACCCAGAACCTCTGCGATCCTCCTGGAAGATGCACAGGGATCAAGAGAAGCACAGAAAGACTGAAATCTGCATCCTCCCCAGCAAACTCTGTAATAGACTGGCTCCCAAACTTTTTCATCATAAAATCCTTTCATCTTACTACATACTTATATGGGCCCTAAATACATAAATCAGATAAAAGTCAAGCACACCTGGCGGAAGCAGAGGTGGCTGCCTGAGAGAAGGCTCACTCCACCTGCTCAAGTCTCCCCCACCACTCCAAAACCCTCACCCTGCATCTTAGAAGCCTGAGACTCCCTTATACAAATTTACAGCTCCTCAGAACACAGTTTCATGTACTATAACTTAGTTATGACAACAGAGAAGAGAACCTGATGATCATTAGTAACTGGCTGTCACTGAGAATGAGTTGTGCCTCTCTGATCTTATTTCCTTCTTTGCGAAGTTATTAGACAACTAGATCCACAAACTGCCACAGACATATCTTGACTTGCTCAAGACACGTAAAGAAGCCTCTCGGAATATCCCTATAGATAAAATTTAGAAAACATGGGAAACCACGTTAGTTATCAAAGAACTACAAATTAAAATAAGATTTACAATTTTCCTATCGAAGTGATAAAATGACTTTTTTAGAAGTAACAATAGCCTGTACTATCAAAGCTATAATAAAAAGGATCCTCTTATATCCCACGGATGGAGAGGTAAACATCCCTGGGAGGTTAATTTGGAAATATGTCTTAACAGTCCTCAGAAACCCTTACAAACCCTCCAGCTCAATAATTCCATTTGTAGCCACCTAGCCTACGGAAATAATCAGAGATGCAGACAAGTTTCTTAGCAAGAATGTTAGACTACAGCACTATTTAAAATAGTGAAAAATTAGAAAGAACCTACTTGTACAAAAACATAGAAATACTCATATGATGAAATACTGTATTAAAAAGTTTTTATACTAAATTTCTTCTTCCCTAAGAATATGTTACATTTTCATGCCATTTATTGATATTTTAAAGCTTGATTTTTCATGGCAAGGATTTTTTTTTTTAAATCCTCTATTATAGGACTTCATGAGGATAAAAACCTAATGGGGTTTGGGACTGCCAAAACACCTGACAAGAGCATTAATAAAAACGTTAATGTTGTTCCCCCTGGGTAGTCTATCAGACCAAATATAAAATATCATGATCATTTCTAGGTTTCAAATACCAGAAGGAGTACTAACTGGCTAACTGAGACAGGCTCAGAGAGGCATGAGTACCACGGTGAGGGAAGCAGGACCCATGTCATATGGCTTCACAGGAAATGAGCATGTCTGACCAAGAACTCAAGAGCAGTCTTCAGATAAGCAAAGTGCTGTCACACAGCAGAGGACAGAAACATTAACTACATTAGGCAAAAGTCGCAGCAATCAGTAAAAGCTACTTATAAAGGGAGGTTTCATCTTTACATGAGATTGAGCTTCATAAAGTTAAGTAAAGTAGATGGGCTACCCCATTGCAGAGCAAGCTTCCAATCAATGAAAATGTGCAAGCAGAACCTGGAGGGCCATATGTGGAGACTTTTATAGCAGGGATGCCAAAAATTGGTAAGAAATTAGACAACAAAACTTACAAGATCCCTCCCTATACTCAGATTCTTTGAATTAACGAATGTTCCGTTAGCCATTTTAGACTATTTACTAACTGAAACAAGGTCAGAAATGCCTTACTTAAAGTAAATGCTATACTATGTTCTAGAGAAAGACATAAACTCAATACCTAATTTTCCATACACTTCATCCTGTGTTTTTTAAGAGATAACTGTAACTACAAGATTCAGTCTTTTGCTTCCTATTTGGCTTTGTTAGGGTTGTTATCATACTTACAATTCTAGCCATACTAAGCTGGAGTCCAAACACCAGGTTTAATTCTTTACCTTTAAACCAACTCACGGCATATGTATTCTGGGCAACTGCTAAGGATTCCCCACCAATCCTAAAAATAGAAGGAAGAAAAGTCACAGCTTTTAAGGAAATACTATAGTTAGCGATTTTGACACTCTTTCTATCAAGAGGTGGGCTCTCCTTCCCCACTCCTGGAATCTAGGTGGGCTTCTGGCTGCTTCAACCAACAGAATATGGCAAAAGTGATGTTGTGTGATCCCAAGGTTGGGTCATTAAGAGGTGATACCTGCCTTTTCACTCCGAGGCACCTGGAGCCCTGAGCCACCTTTTAAAAAGGTCAACTACCCACATGCTATGAGAAAGTAAGCCACACAGAGGGGCCACGTATAAATGCTCCAGTTGGCAGTCCTAGTCTTTGAGGGGGCATCCCAGCCCACACCAGACATGTGAGTCCATGAGCTTTCAGGTGACCCCAGCTCCCAGCCTTCCATGAAACTTCCCAGCTGAGGCCCCAGTCATCAGGGGCACAGAAAAGCCAAATGGTTATTTTACACTGCCAAGTGTTGGAGTCATTTGATATGCCACAATAATAACTGTGATGGGCAATAAAAGGATCCTGCGCTACTGTATATCACCATTAATACTATACAAAATGTTGATGTGGGGAGGGAGAGGGTCCACACTTTCTGAAAACACAAAAATTCACACGTTTCAGGCCAATATGCAAAACTCTCCACCAGTCAATTCCCCAATTTACCTTATTCCGCATTCTCCTACTTCCTGGGTTTTAGTTTTCCTTCAGTGAGTTCCACATATTGACCATCCCCTGCTGAAGACCTGCAGTTGGGAACTTCCTCCCCTCCACAGTCCTCTTCGCTCCTCTGACCTAGTCCAAAAATATCTCCCCACCCTTCTGCTAATCTGAGTCCCATACTTCTGTCAAGGCCCACTTTATCCATGAGGCCATTTCTGACCACATTTCTGGTCCTGAATCTCCTTCATATTTTTATATACATTTTGTTTCCTCCTCTCTCACTTGGAGCACTTTTGGGGGCACATCACATACATCTACATGTCCCTTGTACCCATGAAAATGTTGAATAAGTATGCTTTTAGGACTAAACAAGTTCTGCTGTCTGTGTTCCATGGGGTCCAGGGCTGGACTCAGAATAGGTTTACTGAATGAACCTGAAATTCATATTAGCAATCGGCCTACAGGTACTCAGGAAGAGAAGTCGGCCTATAGGTATTGTGCTCATTCAAGACTCCTGAACGGGGTTAGAAAGAACCTGCACATCACCCACTAGGAACGGGTAAAGTGTCCATAAATCACCAACTTACAAATCGATGGTCTATACATTTCTAAATGAGATTTTAATCAGTCTTCAGTACAACACAATAAGCAAAAAAGCCTAAGAAAAATGTCACCTCTAGAGAACTATTTAATACTTCTGAAAACCTTCCCAGTCTATATCCCTCCTAAGTGTCCACTAACAACACACACACAATCATAAGAATGAAAAGTGACAAAGCTTATAGTGTTATTCCTCCCACAGCATCTAATAGAAGGGGTCACAAAAAGTTTGATGCCCAAAGAAAGGCAGAAATAGAAAATCTCCCTGGGGCTGGGAAAAGCACGTACCACCTATGTGCCAAATATACATATCTCGTTCAATCCTCATAACCACCTTGCAAGGTAGAAATTATTACCCATATTTTACCAATGAGGGAACTGAAGCTCAGGAGGCTAAAAATGGCTCAGAACAGCCAGGAAGTTGAGCAAGTGGCAGCAATGTGATTCAGACTCTGGTTTCTCTGATCCCAAGTATGGGCACAATTTATAACTGAGTTACAGTATTCCATCAGCACCATTTACTAGTCCCAGCCTTAAATTAAATACCAACCAAGTTTCAAAAACCAATTCCAGAAATATAATGATCATTTTAAAACTCAGGCAGAATACCAGTCAATACAGAGGTTTTACAGTTCTTTCTAGAAATACAGAGACAATAATATATATTTCTCAATCCTTAATAAACACTAAAACAATTTATATGTTAGGATAAATGAAATTATGCATAACTTACCCAAACACAAACCTTCCAAATTCCATCAGCCAAAAAGCATTAAATATTCCACCCAGAGCAAAAACAACCTATAATGTAGAATTTAATGCTGAATCAATGAAAAGCTAAATTCAAGGTATTCAAGAGAATAACTTATGACAAATCACAATTTCTACAATGGTCTGAATATTCCTTCTTACTAAATCTGTAAAATTAAAATATTAATGTTCATTTACTTCAAGGCTTAAAATACAGTTACACATTAAACATGGGCATTCATGGGCCACATGTAATTAAACCAGGCATTCATTAAACACCTCTTTGCCAGTCGAATTAATTAGACAAGAATTAATTAGAAAGGGGGCTGGCCGGTGGCTCACCCAGGAGAGCATGGTGCTGACAACACCAAGGTCAAGGGTTTGGATCCCCAAACCAGCCAGCCACCAAAAAAAAAAAAAATTAAATAGACAAAAGTCACTGTCAAGTAATCAATGAATGCTTTGGCCTTCCTTACCTGCCCAACGCAAACAAAGCAGCTAAAAATAATTGTGCCCCATCTGTGTGACAGAGAGAAAGAAAATTTCTTAATTTCTATTTACATTACTATTAGTAATCATAAGTCTTTTTAGTAAGAGTTCACTTTCGGTTCCTTGTCCCCTGTGCATTCCCTCCAAGGAAAGAAAAATGAAGTGCTCATCTGCCTCTGAAGTCAGCAACTTTCCTAGGCTGAATGCTAACCTACAGAATTCTAGACTTCTGAGAGGATTCCAGAGGCTTTAGTAATGGCATATATTAGTTTAAGCCATTATCATCTCTTAAATAAAACTTATTAAATAATCTTCAAGAAGTTCCCAGGGTCTGAACTATTTAAAAATGGAATTTCTTTATAAAATTTCTATTAAGATTTAGGATTGACTCCAAAGAATTCTACATAAGTAATTTAAAGTGGTTATAATTCTTAATGGTAAAAAACAATTTTTACAAGGACAAATATCAACCATATTAATATAATTATGAGTCTAACATTCTACAGTCTGAATATCTGCCTAATGCTCCCCACAATAAAAAAATTCCAGTATTAAAAGAGTCCTTCAAGGTCATCTGAGTAAACTGTACTTCTGAAACGTAAATCCTTCTCAAGATCTCTGTGAAATGGCCATACCACGTTCTACTGAATATTTTCCACCACTGGAAAACCCACTATGGTCCCAAGACAATTTATGTCACCTCCTGTTAAGGTGACCAAGCAAACTCTTCATCACATTAAGTAGAATCTGTTCCCCTGAAGTTTCAAGCTAATTTCATTCTGAGACCAAGCAAAATAAATATAACTCTTCTTTCATACTCTAACTCCTCAAAAATTTTAAGTTAGTCTCCAAGTCTAAACACTTAAAATTTCTTCAACCCTTGTCCACCAAGCATGGTTTGAAGACTTCATCATCTTGGTTTCCACCTTCTGAAAACCTTCCCAGTCTATATCCCTCCTAAGTGTCCACTAACAACACACACACAATCATAAGAATGAAAAGTGACAAAGCTTATAGTGTTATTCCTCCCACAGCATCTAATAGAAGGGGTCACAAAAAGTTTGATGCCCAAAGAAAGGCAGAAATAGAAAATCTCCCTGGGGCTGGGAAAAGCACGTACCACCTATGTGCCAAATATACATATCTCGTTCAATCCTCATAACCACCTTGCAAGGTAGAAATTATTACCCATATTTTACCAATGAGGGAACTGAAGCTCAGGAGGCTAAAAATGGCTCAGAACAGCCAGGAAGTTGAGCAAGTGGCAGCAATGTGATTCAGACTCTGGTTTCTCTGATCCCAAGTATGGGCACAATTTATAACTGAGTTACAGTATTCCATCAGCACCATTTACTAGTCCCAGCCTTAAATTAAATACCAACCAAGTTTCAAAAACCAATTCCAGAGATATAATGATCATTTTAAAACTCAGGCAGAATACCAGTCAATACAGAGGTTTTACAGTTCTTTCTAGAAATACCTTAATCTAGCTCTGTATTTTCCTAAATCAGGTGAGATTTACCCGTAAGATTTTTTTCCAAGCTTACCGTATTCCGAATACTCGGTCTATCAAAAAGCCACCAAAGAAACACAAAACTACATTGGGCCAAGAATACCAGGCATACAGCAGCATGAATTTCGTGGTATCCACCTGCATATCCTACATGGAAAGAAAATAAAACTTTTTTTTCCAAACAGTTAAGTTTAGCAACTAGCGAATCATAATATGATGATCTAAAATAGAAAGTGGTTATTCTTTCAGTGTTAGCACAAGTTTCTTAACCATTCATAAGTCACTAATTTCCTTGAGAATCTCATGAAAGGTATGGCCCCTGTCCTAGAAAAATGGTCACACCTGAGAACCCTGGGAACTTCTTGAGTCCACATGCCCTTTCAAGGGCTTTGTGGATTCCACGATCAGACACATGCTACAGGGACCATCTCCGTCTACCCATATCTTCTATAAACTTATTCCCTCAACACCACCTGCACTGGGTACTCCTCCCACATAGAAAAGAATAATCTTAGCCTATCCCCACCCACCCTACCATCTCCATCATTCAGCCTCCCCTGCCAACTCCTACCTCCTTTTTCTTTCATTCTAGAATGCAAAGGACCAATCCTTTGTCCAAAGCTAAAAAACTTACAAAAAAAAAGATTATCTAAATATCCCCAAACTGGAAATATCGAATATATTTTTACAGTACAATACCAGACTAAAAATACTGACATGGACAATCCTCTGTAATCAGTATCCACATTTTAAAAACAATATAACAACACAAAATACTTAAGAAGACAAAAAAAGCTATCCCACCAAATTATTTGTTTCAGATGATTGAGCAACGGGAAAATGAAATACAAAAATCTTCTAATATTTTTAGCAACACTGTGGAAATAGCACATAATTATTTATTAAGGTATACAAATTCAAATCACATGTGTGCTATAAATGAATTCTTTGTAGCATCTCATCTCAACTTAAGAACACTCCTTGCAGCTTGTGGATTTGGTGACTACAGATGTTAAAATGGATTCAGTGGACATTTCGGCCTAGGCAACCTGAGAGCTGATGATGCCTCAGCAGCTACACCTGCTCTAACGCCCACAAAAGAAACAAAGGTGAAAAATCAACTTACTTGTTTAACCTGAGTCTGAAGGGCAGCAGGATTATCATAGCAAAAATAGCTGCCTAGAAAAGGGAAGAGCAAATATTTTATTAGTAATAATATTGTCCATTTAAGAGTTAAGATGCAAATACTACTCAAATGGTAATTTTTAAATGTTTATACTGTGGGCTTGAGGGCTGACACTATGAACTTTTTTGGATCACTTCCTTCTCCACCCATATTTTCTAAGTTGTAGCCAAATAACTTCCACAAATTAGTAGTGTGCATATACAGCAAATATTGGGAATCTGAATTAAGAAGTCAACAATCAACTGTTTTTCCATATTACTTTCACCATGCTTCCCGACTGTTATTTTATTAGCATCTTTGTGAAGCAGCTACATTTCCCTTATTTAAAACTACCAAAACACACATGCATTAAAAATTTTACAAATATCCTTAGCAGTTTCCTAATAATGTTAGCTGAGGTCACCACCTATCTTGAGAAGAGGAAAGGCGTTTAGCTACTCTGACTAAACCAGTACATGAAACGAGTTCTAATTCTATAAACAGAATAACTAAGCTCAAATAATTTAGCGAATACAGTGCCAGGAATGAAGAAAAGTAAAACTGAGGGCTGGCCTGTGGCTCACTTGGGAGAGTGTGGTGCTGATAACACCCAGGCCATGGGTTCGGATCCCATATAGGGATGGCCGGTTAGCTCACTGGGTGAGCGTGGTGCTCACAACACCAAGTCAAGGGTTAAGACCCTCTTACCGGTCATCTTTAAAAAAAAAAAAAGGTAAAGTAAAACTGAGTTCTAAAGGATTAAATTAAAACATAATAAAGTCTGTTGAGGGATTAGAAAGAGAGAAGTGGAGATTTGAAATTCATGCACTCAGATTTATTTTATTGGTAAAATAATTGCCAGATTCTTTGATAGGCTACAAAAATCTCCACTTGTCCGCTAACTCTCTCTATTAAGCACACGAAGCTTCTAGTTCAAAGGAACAAAAATTGTCATTAGAAAGGCATGAATGTGGCTTCTGAAACCTAGGCAGATAACCAGAATTTACCAAAACTAATCTGTCTGCTTGAAAAGGGACAACCGTTCTAAAGAGTTTTGTTGTTTTTCTTTTTTTCTTTTTCCCTAAACCCAGACACTTCCGGTTGCTGCTTTAATTGCTTGCAAGAGATTCAATGTCAGACTTTAGAGCTAATGGATGGAAATCATCTTTCCACAAAAAAAAAAAGGGAAGGTGGAGGTTAAAAAAATTCGCAAAGAAACCAAAGCCCCAGGCATACTTTATGCCTACTTATATATTCCAGCTGTAGCATCAAGTTATCAACCATAACGTTCCTAAACTTGCTGATTACACAGGTTCTACCAAACTAATGTTATCATTAGAATAGCTGCTGAGTAAATTAAAAACGGTAACATATGAAGGAAAGACGTTTTTAAAATGATCTCAACCACTGTCATCCGATTTCGTAAGTGACACCAACCGCCGCCAAGCCCACCACAAGTGCATTCCAGTACGATTGCTTCACAGTGGCAGAAAGGAAGATTGAGAACACCCACTCACGGAAGCTATCAGCAACACACACGCAGACAGCTTCCCAAAGACGGTGAGAAACACGTTAAGACTGACAACGAAATCATTATTAAAAAAAAAAAAAAAAAAAAAAAAGAGGTCATTTGGGGTTACTTGAGAAGCCGGGGAAGGGGTTAGTTAATGCTTTCTGAATTTCTTCTGAGCACAGTGTACCAAGAGAGGAACCTTGAAGATCTAGAGATTCCTTCATACGTATGGCCCCAGAAGCGAGGTGCTAGCCTCTGGGACTTGTTGGAGAGCAAAGGAACGGGGCAAAATTCGCCCAGCTCAGTCCCCCGACCGCCACGTTAGGGACACCCAATAACCAGCAACGTCCCCAGACCTGGGTGGGGCGGCGAAGGGGCAAGAAGAGAGAGGCCCAGGAGCCACAGCTGATGCCGCGTGGCACCGGAGAGGTGGCTGCGGATCCGGCTCTGAGAGAACGAGGGGCAGACACAGGTTGTCATCAGCGCCGGCCACCCGGCCTGCTCACCGAAGCCGAGGAAGCACATCAGCAGCAGCACCAGCAGCCGGTGCGCCAGGCGGCTGGGGTCGCAGAGCGCCGGCAGCGCCCGCGGGGCGGCACGGGCACCTTCTTCT